CGCTCTGCCCTCTGAGCGCTCAGGGCACTGTGTGCCCCAAGGCCCGGGCCTTCCTCGAGCAGGCTGGCACCAAGTGAAAGGAAAGGAGAAGCCCTCCCTCGTGCATTCAGAAGAAGGCTTGTTGTGCCCAGATTTCAAGGTTCCCAAGAGCCCACCAGGGAGCCAGCGAGTCCGATGCAAAAGCAAAGAGTCATTTATTTCAAACCTAGGTTTGGCTCCCCTGCCACACTCGCCGATGCAACGGCAAGCCCCAATGGCCGAGAGAGCCTACTCACTTCTGACATACATTATTTTTGTCTGGTATTTTAATTCCACATATATTTTAAGGCCCATTAGATACTACTATTTTATATAGTCAATGTCCTTTACACTTGCTCAAATATTTACCACTATTTACCACTCTTTGTTTTTCATTCCTTTTTACATCTCAAATCTTCCATCTGCTATCATTTACTTTCTGCCCAAGTATTTTCTTTAAATTTTTATTTAGAGAGTGTCTTCTGGCAACAAACTTTGTTTTTACTTGTCTGAAAATGTCTTTTGTTTACCCTGTTCCTTAAATGTTGTTTTGAGAATTCTAATTTGGCAATTTTCTCTTTAGCACTTAAAGATATCATTATACTCTCTTCTACCTTTTTATATTTCTGTCTAATTACTCTTCCTTCCAAGATAATAGTCCACCCTCACTTCCTCGTTGCCTGGCTGCTTTCAATATATGTTCTTTGTCTTCATTTCTTTTTTGTTTTGCAGTTTTATTATAATGCCTCTGTATGTAGATTTCTTTCTTTTTAAATTATTCTTCTTGGAATTCACTGGGCATCTTTTACCTTTGGACTGGTATCATGCTTCAGTTCTGGAAAAATCTAAGCCATTGGTCATCCTCCTTGACTGGGAATCAGACCTGCGAACCTTCAGTGCAGTAACCACTGAGTATACTGGTCAAAGTTAAGCCATTGCCTCTTGAAAATGCCTCCTTGATTCCCTTCTCTCCACTGGGACTCCAATCAAATACATGCCTCTAGTGGTTTTCTCTTGAGAAGAGTCAATATTATATTTGCATGAAGATACCTCCAGGATTTAGAAATGACCCAGGATCTTGATCATGAGCCATCAGAAAACATCTGTTAAATAAATTTGAACATTGGGTAACATTTTATTTTATTTTATCTTTTTTTGTTATAATATATTTTTTATTGAATAAGATATTACATGTGTGTCCCTGTCCCCGCATCACCCTCCACCCCCCTCCCCCCCGTTGTCCGTGTCCATTGGTCAGGCCTCTATGCCTGCATGTAAGGTAAGTGGTTGCTCTTTCCCCCTTACCCTCCCCTCCCCTACCCTCCCTCCCAAGCCCGACAGTCCAATCAATGCCTCTCCGTCTCTGGATCAGTCCTTGTTCATCAGATTATGTTGTTCCTTATATTCCACAAATGAGTGAGATCATGTGGTATTTATCTGCTCTCCAGTTCCATCCATGTTGTGGCAAATGGCAAGAGTTCCTTTTTCTTCTTCCTCTTCTTAAAGGATACCTTTCAGCATTTCATATAATGCTGGTTTGGTGGTGATGAACTCCTTTAGCTTTTTCTTATCCGTGAAGCTCTTTATCTGACCTTCTATTCTGAATGATAGCTTTGCTGGATAAAGTAATCTTGGTTGCAGGGACATT